TCAGGAAAAGGCCATTCAAAAGTGTTGGGGACTTTCACAAGGAGTGGACTGAGGTTGGAGTCATTCCCAGTATGTCTATTGCTGTGGAAGTAGACTTAGCTCAGCAGAAACATGCAATGGGATAACCTTTATGCAGCTTACTCAGGCTCCTCTCATGCATACTTCTGCCAGACCATTAAAGATAGTCCTCAAATTCATTTAGTGGCCATTCAAAGTTACAATAGCATTGAAAAATGTGATTTATAACCTGCTTTCATACTTAACTACCATTGCAGCACCCTGCACATGGTCACATCATCAAAATTTGGGTGCTTGGCAACTGGCATGTATTTATGATAGTTGCAGTATCCTTGGTCATGTGATCACCATTTGTAATCTTTCCAGCTGGTTTCCAGTAAAGTCAATTGGGAGTGGGGAGCCAGATTTGCTTAGCAACTGTGTAATTCCCAATTGCAGTGACTCACTTAACAACTGTGGCCAAAAAGGTTGTGAAATGGGCCACAACTCATTTATTCCCTTTAAAAATGGGAGATAATCCTCCACAGTGTTCTCTGACTTTTCCCTTTCCTTACTTTCTCATATTAAAATGGGCTCAGATTTTAAGCTAAAGCAGCATCCCAATATCAGAGTTAGATTTAAAGACCTCAGTGTTGCCCTTGTGCATTTCTGAAGAGATTAGCAATGAAATAATTTCTTTGCTCCATTCTTTTTAATCCAGTGATTTGTCCTAGTGCTTGCCATGCCATCTGTTCCGTGCCAGATGTTGCTTTTTTTAAAGGTCTCCAAGCCTATATTGCACCTCTGTCTTTTTCTGGGCATGGCTGCATATTTACTGTGCCCATCCACTTTCAATTCAAGTGGATATCCATCTTTGAGTTGGTAGCAAGAAGAAAGCAATGCAGAGACACTTCCACTCTGAATAAGATGTCTCAGCTTCTTAAATGGCAACGGGTCACACTGTTCTTGAGAAAGCTACTTCAGTTATCTTAAGAATAATGTTTTCACCAGTTTCTAGAAGGTCAAACATATGGGAGTGATACATACTTTGGAGAGTAAACTGTTTTAGAGAAGGGAAAATGTTCTCACCCATTTGGCTCCTCAAGGTATCTCTTAGCCCAATAACAACATATAGGCTTCTTTCTACAAGCATTACCAATGCTTTCCTTGTCAATCAATGAAAACACAGTAGCCTTTCTTGTATACTTAATTTTGTTCAGAAGAGTATCAGTCCCTTTTGAATTTGTTAATCTTATTTTGCTGCTTATGTTTGTGTGTATGCATTATAGAATTAGAAAGTATTCTCATAGGTAAGGATATACTACCAGAAGCCTCAAATCTTCTCAGATTTTCTGTCTTCTTAGAGAGTCCAAGGCATTACTCAATCACGGAGAACTTCATAAACCAACATTGCATTAAAGCATTTATGTAGCACTAATTCTTTTTCCAAATCATTTTAGCTAACAGTATTTTTTTTAAGGCTGCAAGATGCGACTGCTGTAAAAGTCAAGGAACTCTTAAAGAGAAAGTACAGTGGAGAGGGGAAATAAAGCACTTTTGTGATCAGCATTGCCTTCTGCGTTTCTACTGTCAACAAAATGAACCGAATATGGCAACACAAAAAGGACCAGAAAACTTTCATTATGGTATGTTCCTTTTACCAACAACTCTGTATATTAATTTTTTTAACATTTCAAAAAATGGCAAGTTGAATAAGCTTCTAGAATAGAATAACAGAGTTGGAAGGGACCTTGGAGGTCTTCTAGTCCAACCCCCTGCTTAGGCAGGAAACCCTACACCACTGCAGACAAATGGTTATCCAACGCCTTCTTAAAAACTTTCAGTGTTGAAGCATTCACAACTTCTGGAGGTCAGTTGTTCCACTGATTGTTCTCACTGTCA